TCTACTAATTTGTACAATTTGATATTCTCGTTTGGTTGCCAACAGACACAAAGATCACTCAACATGCTTTTTAAAAATAATGTATTTTCAATTCGCATCACATGTGTGAATCACTAGCAGGTAATCGATCCAGGAAACATTTATCAGATCAGTTTCTTGATCTAGTTTCTCAGATTTATCTGCAGCTTCCTCCTCTTTTCCTATTTCTCTCCCACGGGTGTTTTGTCTCCAGGTTTTCGACTCCATAACACCCCTTCTTTCCTGACACCAAAGAGCTTCAGTTTTAGCAAAAAGACCTTTCCCCTCTCCCTCCCCCTCCTCTACTTCCCATATCTCCAGACTTTCCCTGCACCCCTTTTCCTCAATATGCTTTTGTTGAGGAAGCTCTAATTTGTATCTCCTCAGATATGAGCATGTACAGTAGGAGTGTGTGCAGAGAAGGGCCAACCTCCCAGAGGAATAATGCATTATTCCCCGTGTGATGCGGCGCAGTGATACGGTTGAGGGGCTTGTCATGGGATGTGACGGGTCTTTGTTACCCGACTCTTTCCTCCTTGCTGCTCTTCTTCCTCCTGCCTCCTTCCTCCATTGAACTCTGTCTCCTCTTCCCCCGCCTCACCTGGAAACAAGCCTGCCTCTTTTAACAGTTGTTTGCTCTCAACTGAGAAGTCAAAATCTGAGCCGTCGCTTCACTGGAGCACACGACCCCACCAAAGAAAGAGACCACAGGCGTCTTTATTTTCTTCTTCCTTATCCACTCCCAAGCTCTTTTTGACCTTCTGTTTTGATTTATTCCACCCTATAGCAATGTTTTTTTAATTTGTAAACATTAAAGTCAGTACACACATTTACATTTGATGAATACTGCTCACGCTGCGAGCACGGAGAAACCTTGAGAAGCCCACTTTCAGCAGCCAGTCAAAGTACGAAGTGAGCCAGGAGTAATGAGGCTGACACAATGGTACCTTCAAATGGCAAACACCTGAAGCGAGTGGTAAACATTTCTACACACTGGTGTTTATACTGCCCTCACACATTTTGTTTCTCTTTATTTGAAATCCCTTGGCCACAGAAATGTCTTGCTGTGAAGAAAAAGATTGCTCTGCAGAAGAGTCTCAGGCATGTGCACAAAATGGGAATCAATAATGCAATTCCCAACAAAGCGGAACAAACACCACTCCAAATTCAGCAATCAACTTTTATTACAATGTTCTAAAACCATATAGTGGGGTTTGTTTGTGTTTGTTTTTCAAATTGCAACAACAGGGTTCTGGAGAAATGGAAACAAATGAAATGAATATTACAGTAATGATCCAAACTGCGATTTCGAAAATGAGACGTTTAATCTGTTGCAGTTACCGACAAGAATATTTAGAGAAAATAATCAATGTTTTTGATCATTCAGACATGTTTGTAAAGTTGCAACTAAAAATCATAATTGATTTGCAATTAGGCATTACTATCTTATAAATACGTAAACACCACTGTGGTAATATACGGATTTTATTACAATGTGAATAATTGTCCTTTAACTTCTTATTTTTCTATAAATATATTCTTTTTACGTTATCTTTTTATTGCACATTCTTACTCTAACTAACTTATGTTATTATAAATATCTTTCAAGTTATTTTAATGATTTAAATTGTTTTTAATTTATATTCTAAAATGCAGCAAATGTCACCAGAACAAAAATGTCCTTAAAATAAATGACGTATTCTGATTCTAATGAATACATAGATTATTTCTACTAATATGAATGTGACATCACGGAGTTCCTGCAAACCAAGGTGATGCATTTCTATCTCTATCATTATTATTTTTTCTCTAAATACTTTCCGCATTGAAGTCAATGTAGTACAGTATGTGTGTGAGATGTACTCACAACACAGTGAGAAATGGAGGGCGGTCTGCACCTCGCCTGGAGTGTGTTGCACAGTGAGGTAATTCCAGATGGATTGTGCTGAGGGCGGCCTCCGCCTAAGGAGATGACCACAGCCTGTTTATTCCCAGGTGCTCTCACACTCTCCACTCCATGAGAAATAGGGTGTTTTTTCTTTCATCAAGATCATAGCAATTCTTTCTCCCTACCCACATCCCGGCTCTCTTATCACCAAACATATATTAGAATGTCAGACACATCTTCTCCCCCCTGATCCATATCTCTCTCGTCCACAAACCACTCCAGCAAATGTTACCTTTTCATATCTGGTGCTGAGAAAATACGCTTTTTTTTTTTCTCCCACCGCACGTGAGGATCTGCAGACACGATAACCTTCGCCGCTGAACTGCAAATGTCACTTGGGCTAGCCGACCAATCGCGTCGCTCGTTGTCGGCCGCCGCAGCTCTCTTATGGGGTTCACAGCCACGACACTGGGACGGGGCAGATGTGCACACATGAATGAGAATGAGTCAGCAGGGCTCTCAGGTGTGGCCAGGAGAGGCCGAGCTAAATGCCACAGAATACCAGGAAACCGTATCAGATGGAACTGTGCTGCTTTTATCTGAATTCACTGGAGGGGCATCAATAAGGGGATTTCTGCAGCGTATTTTCAAAAGCTAATTACTACAGGATAATGCACCACACGCGTAGTCGTAGCAACAGGAAACACTGCATCATCAAACTGCAGAAAGGTTTAAAAGACAACATTTTGCACTTGAATGCATGGGGAGTGGCGATGCTCTGCAGCACATTGAAGTATCTGATGTCGGCATGTTAAGAAAACCCAGAAGTAGGGCTGATCAATCATGGCAACAACCATAATCACCATTATTTTGGTCATAATGGAGATTGCTGTTATTTAACACTGTTATGCATTGATTTACAAAACATCATTTATTAAAGGGGCCCTATTATTATTTTTTTGTTTTCCCTTTCCTTTAGTACGTCATACAGGTTTGTGTGCATGTAAATGGTCTGCAAAAGCTACAATCTCACTCTCACACTGGGAGTGAGTTTTATATTGTTAGTTTCAGTGATTTTGTTTCACTTGGAATTCATTGCCAGTCCATATTATTCAGTAAGAAGTACAAGTAAAAGTTGAAAGTGAAACATCTCTTCATCATAAAGTATAATGGTCTGTGGGTATTTACAACTATTTGTAATATTTATGTTCGGCTTAATGATGGTTAAAATGGGATGATCATTTCCGTTTTCACATCATATTGAAATTTGAATACCATGAAATGATGATTTGTTTGTTGTTTAGGTTTTCGTATGAGTGTGTGTGTGTGTGCGGACCCCAGTAGGAATAGCTAATGCTCATGCTAGTGCTAATGGGGATCCTAATAAAGAGTAAGAAAACGTTTGGGCTATAATGGAGGGGCAAAAGCTCACCACTGTAAAGGAAAGAGGAATGGCTTGATTTATATTACTGAGACAAAACAAGAGCATCACTGTGAAACCGAAAGCAGAACAGTAATAGTTTCATCTCGATTAACTTGGAAGGCAACATCGTGATTAGAAATAAAACTCAATAATTGTTCAGCCATACTTAAATGTGAAGCGTGACTTGCTTTACTAGGTTTAGCAACAGCCATTACCCGGTTAATGTGTTATTTGTCGTAATGTGTGTCCAGCTGAACAGGAAACGATTAATTATGTTCTTTAGTCTTTCTCGCTCAAACTTGTTCCTGGTTGTTTTTCTTCCGTGTTTTCATATCTCTCACGTACAGAGAGACAGAAAGGCATATCTGAGCAGCATCCAGATTGACATGCTAGGTAATGTGTTCCTCACACACAGGGAAAGTGTGAGATAGGAGGCAGTTATGCTTATCATTAATATTTCAATACTCCTGTGCAGTTATTGGTCCGTTTCCCTAGCCCCTCCAGGTTTATCTGTGTGATGGCATATTTCAGAGCGTCCATATTCGTGACCAGAGATTATATATTATGCACTTTATTATGGGTATTCATGGCCGCTGGGGAGTCCCGGTGAACTCCACCATTCCCTTTTTATATTGGCTATCAGTCTCAAGGTGGCAGATGCTTTATTTGCAGGACTGGAAAGTAGCCATTGTGGAAAAAGCAGATAACAATCCGCAATAAGCGAAAACATTGGCCAATGAAGAGGCATCCCCATTGTATCTGTCAGGCTCTAGTTCATAGGTCCACGTAGAACTGGTTAAATGGCACATTTGACATATTCTTTTCACTTTTGTAGATCGCAAATATAAGGCATTTCTAAAGAATTAGGATAGAAGATAATTAAAACAGTTAATTATTAAATTACTTTATTTATCATTGGTTGGAATTTGGGTTCCGTGATGGTTGAGCCATTTGAAATACAAATGTAAAACAATTATATAAAGATACCTAGTTAAATATACGTGATACATTTGCAATTTAAATAAAATATAATATAATTAAGAATTGTATACTGTATATTAATGTGCAGTTAAACATACAATTAACTAGAATAGAGCTATAGCAAATGTAGGAAGTAAAATGTCTTGAATTGAGATTAAGAAAGAGAGTGATGGTCACTAAATACCAGAGCTTAGTGTTCTTCTTAAAGACATTTTCATGGTTGTTGTTTGTCAGAATTGTGACCCCTGACCTGTCAGTGTGAGGTCACAGTCCAATACACCAGCTTTATCCAGGGTCAGCTCTTTGTTGGTGGGCCTGCGTTAGGACGCCTTGTCTGTGCTCTGATGTCAGGAGACAGGCTCCTCTTGTGGCTCTCCTTATCTGGATCAGAGAGGCAGACCATCGGTCTCAGGAGCAGCAATCAGCCTCACCTTCCACGGCTGAATAATCTCTAATGCACCAGGAGAGCCTGCCAATCATCAACCAGGAAATTAAATACTTACCCGAAACCTGCTACCTTGATGGGGGGGATATTAACAGACTGGCTGAACATGTTTCTTCCAACAAATAATCTGCTTGTTTAATCATACTGTTACCACACTGGTATGAATCCAATATGATGTGGCTTGAATTGTCTATGCACGTTTACCTTCAAGCATACATTCATGTTTTTCCCTTCTTTTTTTCTAGTTCCTGTGTTTGAAGAACATCCGGACGTTCCTCAAGGTGTGCCACGACAAGTTCGGCCTGCGTAACAGTGAGCTGTTCGACCCGTTCGACCTCTTTGATGTCAGGGACTTCGGCAAGGTGAGTTAGACTTGATGGACGCTCTTCTTGGCAGCCTCCAAACGCTCTGCAGTTGAACTGTGATCTGCTCCTAAACGAGGCTGCCCCGAGGCTACATTCTAGTTACGGCGTGCGCTCAGAGACATGACGCCGCTTGTGTCCCTCATTACACCATTTACAGCAGGAGCGATGTCCTTCTGCTGTCAGATGGAAAGCTAAAATGTGGCGTATGTTATGTTCACGCTCATGTGGGCTGATACACTGTGTGCATGTGTTGTGGAAGAGAACAGGCTTGTGGGAGTTCATCTACAGTTTAGCACAACATGCACCGGTGATTTGCTTTGGTTTGAAGACTTGAAGTTAAATCTGTCAGTTACTTTAACTTCAATACAGAGCGGAGGGATGCTGTTACACTTCAGGGTCAGCAATCTCATTTCATGTCACTGAGTGTGTAGATTTGAACTTCACTCTGCTTTCTAACAAGCTGATGCTAAAAGAATGCAGTGTGGCAGTGTGTGTTGGCTCAGCAGTAAAGATGGCTGACTCACTCGCACATCATTTAAGGTTTATGTGGAGTTTTATGGGGTAATCAAGTGGATATTTGTATTTATGAAATGCTCTCTAGGTCTATTTTTTCCCTTCTTTCGGGACTTGAATTGAGTTGGCGCTTTTTGGGTTCAGACATCCAGAAAGAGATCCAAGTAGACCTGCTGGTCTTTTGCATCACAAGGTGGTTAAACATCAGACCTGAGAGCATGGACATGTGCTGGCATGTTTACCACCAGTTGGCTTTGCCTGACCCAGAAAACTCAGGAGGGATTACAGATTCCACCTGGCCCGGGGAGGTCTAAGGATCCACCATAAGGAGCAAGAGTTGCAGATGGAGGCAGGAACATCTGGATGCTCGGTCTGCTATATCCTAACCCTTTTCTTAGGTCTGTTCTTGAACTGGTTCTGTCAGGATTCTTGGAACCGTAATGCTATCTAGAAAACCCTCTCCCTTACTGCTTGTTTCTAGCAAAACAATCGTAATCAAGGTTGCGTCATCAACGAAGGCCATTGCATAATGCACAATGAAAGTACACCGTGTTTACAAGATATCAAATGTAATATTGCAAGCTGTAGTTATGTAATTACATATTTCCGTTTTAATCCAAAACCAACTGCCAGAGGATAAGAAGTACTAGATTATTAATTGCAAGACACCGACCCCTCTTTCAACGTGTAATTACCAGCAACTGTCACGTTCAAGAAAAAACCTTATTGGTTAAGAACCAAGTGTTCAGGTTCTCATTTATTTGGTGGAAATGCTCCGTAGAGTACACAACTAGGTGTGTGAACTGTAACAGAACCAGTTCTTAGTTGTTGGAAAAGGGGTCACTGACCCAGACCTGGATTACCGTTGAATGATGGAAGAATGAAGTCCAAAATACAATTAAAGTCGGTAATACAATCTGGAATTTCAACATCAATCCAAAACTGCTGTAAAACAAGGGAAAGATGCCAGCTGCTTGAACCATATTTTCTTTTCATTTTCATGAACATGAAAGGTGGAAACACACGGGTGATAGAGGAGGGGGGAGGGGATGGATTGGCTGGTAATCCATGATCTGCATACCCTGCTGTTGACCTAAACTCCTGAAAGTGGATTGTTTCTCTCTACTTTCTAATCCCCTTGACTATTCAGAGTGTGTTGTTTGGCGTGAGAGACAGAGTGGTTGGGGTCTTATCCTCTTTCTTGGTTAGTAAGCTGTTAAAACAAGCAGTAGGGATAGCATGATGTAATTAAACAGATGTGGGCAGCTGATGCCAGTGTGTCAGGATTTATGAGGAGGGAATGTTAATAGTGTACCTCTTCAGCTGAATGAACAAATATGTACAATTTGTACTCCAATGGCGAGGATTGCTTTGGTGGAGGTGAAACCGCATTACATCTGGCTGTGATCGATTGCAAAGAGGATGTATTTGCAGAAAGTCATCTGCTCGTTTATCTAATATATTTAATTTGGAACATCCACACTCCCGGCGTCAGGCTGTGAACAGAGGCAGAAGAAAGACGGAGAAAGAAAAGATGAGGGAGAAGAAAAAGGAGACAAGGACTCATTTGGCAGTTTGTAGATAAACCACAAGACGATGTCTGAGAGTCAATGAGCTCGCAGTGAACGGTATTAAAATCCAACAGCAGTCAGAATCAATCACACAGGCCCTCCATATGTCAATTTGGAAATTGCTTTTGTATAGTCGCAGCGGTGGCGGGCTTGTCTCGCCATTGATTTTCCATTAAGGCCAAACATCACATTATAATATATTGAATCGAGCAGATCCCTACTAATGTGGCATACATTTAAATAATGAGAATGCCTAATAAACGGAAGATAAAAAGGGGGCTATTTTTTATACCTGCAGTAGTAAGTCTCTTTTTTTGTTGGATCTCATCCCTGGATGTGCTCTTTCCTCTTTTGTTACCTTTACACAAAGGTTTCTTTGTGGGCACATCCGACTGCAAACAAAAGGAATACTAACTTCAAGCATACATCGTAGTACGGTATCATTCGTCTTTTCTCTCCATATCATTCTTTTGTTTTTCACCTGACACTTAGGAAGAAGTGGAAACGCTTAGATAAAGAATGTACGTTTTGTTAGACTAAAATCCAGGTTGTGAACTGTTTGCACAATTTAATAAAAGGATGCATCCTTTCAGACTGAGAGCTATTATAAACCCCATCATATAAAGTATACAAATCAATATTGTTTTCCATTAACAACAGCTAGAACAAATCTATTGATCTAACTTTAATATTTACAAATGATCTTTTCTAGTTTTGTTAGGATGTTCTGTTAAAATGAGAATATTTTGATGAAACTTGTTCTGTCTTTAGCTTACGCTTAACCTTTTAGCATGAACATAGGTTGCAGTCATAGAGTTCAGCCACATTGGATGCAATTTGTATGATCCATCCCTCCAATGCTGACAGGTTTTGCTTGAGTGCTTTCCAATCTTGTTTCTCTTCTGGCGTTGTGATTAGAAATCCAAATTTGGATTAGGCAAACGTTGGTTTAAGCAATTCAAAATGCAGCGTTTTATCAAAGTGTAGCAGAAGAAGACAGGGACATAGAATACAGGTAGAGGGAAGAGTATAGTTGTATTAGTGAAAGGAAAGGTGGAGCTCTGCCTGTTTCCCCGGCACAGTCCTTTTGGAAACAAACGGGCTGTTTGCAAAGACATACCCTACACTGTAGATTTTTAATCTCCTCTGGACGAAGGGAATTAAAACGAAGGACTACAGGGAGACGAGGTTAGGTGGAGGGTATCGACAGCAGCTGCCTCTATAAACATTAATCAGCCCCTATCCACTTTTCATACCTGCACGGTGGCTGTCAGGGTCCCCCAGAGTTCATCTCCCCTGGCCTTTGAACCGCCTTCTCTTCGTCTAATGATGCCTTTCTCCGGGTCACATGCAAATGGAGACCGGGGCCAACTGGGCCCAATGCTGAGGAAAAAAGTAATTGCCCCTTCAAAACCTTCCCCTACTCTTTCCAGTGGGGCTACTATCGAAACAGATGGAGCACATACGATGCTCGATGTCCTCTACCGATCTTTATTTTCATTACCCAGCTCATTTCAACCAGGGTTAGCCTACGCCACCCGCAACATGAGCTAGGGCTCCCTCGTTGCCGCCGCTTCACGCAGGGGGAGAACGTAGCGTTACAGTTTAATGCACATATTGCTCACTTCTCCTCTTCGCCCCCATGACCCATCCCCCGTCATTAGAAATTCATTATGACATCATTAAACCAATGAAATACAGCTTATTACAGTGGACCCCAGAGAAGGCTTTTTATTTAAACGCCCTCCCTCCAATCCGAAAACCCAGCCGCCTCGTTTACTTCATCCCGACCTATTTTAATTAGCCACCAAAGGAACATTGCTGTCATTTAAATGAACATGGCAATCAGTTTATTTGGCTGTTGCCATGATTAGCATAATTAGCCCGCACCTGTTAACCATCTATCAACAGTTTGGTAATTTTCCCATCTGTGACTGGAGCGTGGCGAATAGGAAGGAAGCTTTCTGACAGATTTTGCCGTCTTCATTAAATGGGAATGGCGTCATTTGTTTGAAATGCAGACGGTGTTGCTCGCTTCACTTTCTATCTCATCTAAACAGCCCCGGAGTCATGACTGACTGACTCGCCAAGTGTCAGCCATCCAAGCCCCGCTCATTGGCTTGATAGAACACTGTCAAGGTGAATGGATGTTATCTGTGCACTGCATCGGAATGGAAATTAGTCACTCAGTGTGCACTCATTGTTTTTTAAGAAACAGCCATCACTTGGCAGACATATTTTCAGCAATCTGTTTGGATTTGTAAACCCTTCCAATTTATTGAAACTGTGATAATAACGTGGTCATTTTAGCTACCATAAGTAAGCATGTTCTGTTGTATGAGTTTTCCGAAGTTTTGTGTGACTCCCAGCATGTAATCAGTTTACTTAACATGGATCAGACTTTGAAACAGATGGATTTGCGATGTGAAGGAAACACAGAAATCCCCATGATTTAATTTGCACCAAATGCTTTCTTTTTCCAACACTTTTCTTTCCTCCTCACTTCCCCACCCCATTCATCTATCCCCCTCTTTCTCACTGTCCTCCTCTCCCGACTCATTCATCTCACACCCACACTCTCAGCGAGTATGTTGTGATAAGACTAAGCTAGCGGCAGGCGAGCAGCCATTGTGTCAGGGCGCTGTGATTGCCATTGGTCGGCGGTGTTTGATTACTCTCTCTTCTGCTCTGAATCCCGCACTGAACTCTGTTCCTTTCATTTCCTTCCTGCGCTCTGCCGCTAAAAATAGCTAGTTGCTTAGCATCCACGCCCAGTGCTGCTTACATCTGGAAACGTGCCTCAGCCGCCGTTGGCCCGTCTGCCAACCCGAGTGCTATTTACTGAAGTTGGATCTAACCTCAGTCGCAAGCCCTCAGCCACGGCCTGTGATCATTTGTTCTAGCTGGGAACAT